CTGCCGGTCATATCGGAGCCCTCAGAAGCGGTGCAGGAAGGTGTGCGCAAGTACGCTCCATGCCGGACTACCTGCACCATAAAGGAGCCTCTGCAGGGCCTGGAGGTGGATGACATGGACCTGAGTGCACAGGCACTTCAGACTCTGTCCTCCCTCCTCCAGAGGCAGGTGGAGGACCCTGTAGAGACCCAGTGCAGTTCTGGCCAGAAGAGCAGTAGAGCTTCGGGGCAGAGCAACGAAGGGGAAAAGGAGAGGTGCAAATACTGCACAGGGTGGGGATACCGGCTCCTCTGGCTGCACTGGGAAGGGGAGGGACTGCACCATCATCGGGAGGGCTGTGAACAATGGGGGGGTAACTGAAAGGGGGCACAAGTGCTTAGGGAGGGGTGCATGGGCACAAGGATGAGATGTGGGGGGCAAGGGAAGGTAGGGGAAGAAGGGGAGCCAGCTGGGAATGGGGCAGGGCAGGAAAATCACAGGAGGGCACTGAAAATGTGAGGGTGGGACAGGCAACCAACGGGACACCCAAAGTTTGGGACGGGGCAGGCGCAATAGCAAACACTGAAGGGCCAGGGTGGGGCAGACAAATTTACAAAGGCTAGAGTGGGCAGGCAAACTAACAGACAGGAAAATTCCCAGAGGGTCAAGGTGAAAATCGGGAGGGAGGACAAATGGGCAGCAAGGGGCAGGTGGGGGGAAGGGGCAAACTAATGCAGAGAGGCTGGGGGGCACTGGAGAAGGGCGGGTCTGTCCGAGGCAGGGTGGTGGCAGGTGCACCTGTAAAACTCAGTCCCAAACAGTCCCAGATGGATACAGGGCGAAGCAGACGGCCGCATCCAGAGGCAAAGAGCAGGTCCAAGTGGGGTGTTGGAAGTGGGGGAGGGGAGCAGATGGGTGAGGGGGAGAGCTCCACGCCTTGCCCCCTTGCTCCCCACAACAGCAGCAGGAGTGACCACCACCCCAGGAACAGAGATGTTAGAAGTCACTCAGTTAGTGAATAAACCCCCTCCCCTCCTCCTCGAGGGTAGCAGCAGCCAGCCAGCGGAGACCTAGGGATGGTGATGGTGTCAGGTGCTCTGCTCCGGAGGGCAGGCAGAGCGCCCCCCCCCAACACACACACACACACTCACAGCAGCAGTAGCCCAGGGGAGAGCTCCAGCTAGCAGGGCAGCCAGAGCAGAATGACCAGTGGGCAGAGGGGGCTCCCAGGGACCCAGAGGGGGAGGTACTCTCACTGAGCCCTCGTGGGCCAAAAGTAACATCAAGGAAGACTCTAAAGACAGCTTTTTAAGATCTTAGTGACTAGTTCATTACCTGCCCAGGGCCTTGAACCCTGGACCTTTAGATTAAAAGTCTGATAGTTTACCAACTGAACTGGGCAGGCTCACAACCATACAGCAGCCTGGGTCTGGGACCTTGTGGGGTCTGCCAGCAGTCCTGGTCCCCCCCCGAGCTGGGTAGCTGCCCCCAGACTCCTTGGGGCCAGCCTGCAGCCCCAGATCCTGGACCCCACTGAGCTGTTCAGCAGCCCCCAGACCCTGCCGGACTTGGCAGCTGCCCCCACATCCCAGACCCCAAGGGGCTGGCCAAGAGCATCGATCCTGGACCTCATGGGGCCAGCCTACAGCCCTGATGCTGCCCCTCAGAACCGGACCTCATGTTCTATAACCAAAAGTTCATTTTCTGTGCCTCTCTCTGCCCCCTCACCATACCCCATGCATAGTGGTTGTCCTTGGTCAGAGACAACCCAGGGTTCAGAGCAGGGCCGGCTTTAGCAAGAGCGGGGCCCGATTCCTGGGGGCGGGGCTTGCAGCAAGCCCCGCCCCCAGGA